GTACGTACTACGTGTGTGTGTGTGTGTGTGTGTGTGTGTGTGTGTGTGTGTGTGTGTGTGTGTGTGTGTGTGTGTGTGTGTGTGTGTGTGTGTGTATGTGCTTGTGTAAGTTATGATAGAACCTAATATATTTTTAGATCAATTGTCAGTAGGTTCAATTTTCATGGTCTAGTTGTCGTGAGATAAGATTCCTGAAAACAGTGATCATTTAACTCAACGATTTTTCGGAGAGTTTCAAAATTGTATTCGGTAAAATACAGGTATTGTATTCGATTATGCAGGGGCATATCAAGTGATATTAAGATATATTTAAAATCGTGCCAGATATATTCTGATAAAACCTGATATGCCCAACTCTGGCTCTATATGGCTAATTTTCAAATGAAGTCACAGCAGAACATATCCCTGAATAAAAAAAAGTATTAAGACAAAGAAAAAAGTATTGAAAAGTATTAGATTGCCTAGAAAACCAATACTTTTTTCTTTGTCTTAATACGTTTTTTTAATCAGGGATCATAAATCATGTACGTATAAATCAAATTGTATCAGAAAATTTTTTCACGGGCTTATCTAAACAATTGCATAATAAAGGAGAAAACAGTATTAAAATACAGTCTTTTTATTAACATAAAATAAAACAATCTAAAAACAGTAAACCTTGCAAGTCATATTCCTAAAACTATAATATATATGTAATTGCAAGCATACCTTTTTCTTTTCATTTTTCAGCTCTTCACATTCAGCAATATGAATAATCGATTCTCTTTAATTAAGTTAATATATTTCAATTCAAAAACATAAACATCAGGTGACATTAGGAATTTTAATTTTGTTGATTATTTTAAAGGAACAAATCATCGATAATTTAGACTGATTTATAAATTGAGCTTCCGGTAACTTTTTTTATATGTCCACGCTACAAACTTTTCTTGAGCTCATTTTATTTGTAATTATTATTATTTAATCTTCTCCGGATATATAAACACACGGAGAAAACAAAACATCATTGGTTAGTATTTTAAACAGAGTTCTAGGTCAAAAATCCCAGAAAATATATCCCAAGCAAAAATAACCCATACAAAAATATCCCAAACCAAATAATCCCAAGACAAATATATCCCCACACATAAATTTCCCTTGATAAAATATCCCACAACACAAATATCCCAAAAATCTCAATATCACATAAGATTATTGAAGTAACATAATATTTTTTGTAGATTATTAAAATAGTATACTTATCATGGTTGTTGTGTGTGTTTATTCGACAGTATACCAACATATAAAATCATTACAATGATTGCGCCCAACACAAATAGGCAAATAGGCGTTAAATTATGTTTCTAATAATTTATTTCTTCTCAATTGGGGGGCTTCGCCCCCCAACCCCCACCCGGGTTCCACCCCGGACCCCTCTAAGGCTTCGCCACGAACCTCGATTACTTTTTTTGAATGGGGGGCTTCGCCCCCTAACCCCCACCGGGGGGCTTCACCCCGCTGTTAATTTTTGCATAAGAAAATTTTTTCATTTTGTGTTGTGTGTGTTTATTCGATATGAGACCAACACATAAGCTTGTAACCGTGTTGCGCCCTTTTATCATGATTGTTGTGTGTGTTTATTCGATATAAGACGAACACATAAGCTTGTAACCGTGTTGCGTCATTTTATCATGGTTGTTGTGTGTTTATTCGATATTAGACCGTTTATTCGATTTTAGATATTTTTGTTAAAAGGATGATTCTGCCATGGGAGATTTTTGTTTTGGGATATTTTGTCACGGAATATCTTTTCGATGTGATATATTTACTGGGATATTATTTACTAGGATTTTATGACCGGACACCTTTAAAAACAGTAGTTAGTAATTTATTGATGACAGTAAAGGTTGGGTGTGTTAGGAAAATGTGTATTGAACGCATAATATTATTCTTTTTTCATCAATTTTAATCTCTTCCTTTTTGATCGCATTTAGCATTTTTTTTAACTTCTAAACTAATACTAGAATCGGAAAATGACATAGCAGCAAGTTTTTCTGTCAGATACCATAAATTTCGCAAAAATGTTGATACAGTAGCATTCGAAATTTTATTTTTAATATTTTTATAATTAATTAAATTTTTTAAGAAATCTAAGTATTGAGCTGGAGCGCTTATCGGACAAGGAGCTTTAAACCACGCTTTTACATAACAATACTTGTATACCGCCCCTCCCTACTTATCTCATTTTAAAGTAATTTATTTCCTTAAATATAAAATTTCCTAACAATAAATGCCTAAAATTGCTTATTTTGATTTTTTATTTAATTTAGGGCTGTGCGAATCTTGCTCGAATCGAATCGAACCGAATCTGAGAATTCGATTCGAGATTCGAGTCGAATATCGAATTGTTCGAAAGATTCGAATTGTTCGAAAGATTCGAATAGTTCGAAAGGTTCGAATAATTCGAAACTTTTTCGAATCTTCGTTAAATCGAAACGACACCGTGTTAGACTCTTAGTTTTCTAAGGTAATAATCTTTATTTAGTTATTTTATGTCCAATCAAGCAATGATTAGACTTAATTACTTTTAATTGGGATACATTTTATTCATACGTTTTCCCTTTTCATAATTCCCTTATCGTGAATGTTAATTTTTACGGTCACTAGTTTCTGGAGCAAAGAAACAACATGAAAAAATTTTTTCGATTGTTTATGCACATTAGGGTGGCCCAAAAAACCGACTATTTTTTAACTTAAAAATTAAAAATTTTTTTAAATTCGGGAAGTTATTGTTTTTACCCCGTTTTTCGAAAATCGAGTATTCATCAGATCTCGACGTTTTGAGGTCCTAGAAAGCTTCCCTGACTATTCCCGCGATGATGTC